AAAGTGAGAAACCCAGACCTGGGGAGCAGCAGATGAGAGGTCTCTTTGTGCCCTTCATGAGGGGGCACCTCTCCCTCCCCGCCCTGGGGGCACCGAACCAGCCCCTTCTCAGCCCCTTCCCTCTGCCACTGTCACTCCATCCCCCCTTTTCTCCCTCACCCCAAACCCTTGTTTCCCACCACCCCTGTGGAGCACAGGGAGGGCAGGGCTGGTGTCCCCAGGCCACCACAGCCCTGGCTCTGGGGCTCACCCTGGGCTCTTGCCACTCAGCTCTTCATCCCCTCCCAAATATTTCCCCAAAGATCAGTCAGCAAATGATTTTATCACCTCAGAGATCCACCAGGGGAAGCAATTCCCGCATTCACACCTTGCAGCAAACTCGAGCTCACAGATCCACATTTTTCCTTTTACAGTTTCCTCCCTCACTGCCTGTTTTTTATCCCTTCCGGGAAGTCACTGAATTCCCTCCTCACTGCCGGGTGTTCCAGAGCCCTCACACCAGCACCTCCCTCCTCCCTCAGCGGGGGCTGGAGCATCATCCTGCCCTTACAGGGGCCACTTCAGCTGAAAAAAAGAGAGGCCAGAGAGCGCTGGGGCTGTTTAAGGGCTGGGGGCGAAGGGGTTTGGGTTTTGAGCTGCCTCGGAACCCCTGGCAGGGCTGGAAGGGTCGAAGCCCCTCCTGCCCCTCGGAGCGGTGGCAGGAACAGCTCCTGACCCCAACCCTGCTCGGGAACATTCCCGGGGGTCCCTCGGGGTTAAAAGAACCGCGGTGCGTGCGAGGAAAACGCCGCAGCGAGGAGGGAAAGGGCCCCGGGGATGGGGCCGACCCTTTGCCCTACCCCCGTGCCTTGCCAGAGACGGCGCTGGCACAGGGCGCTGGCACCGGGCTCCGGCGTGTTCGCTGCTCCGCGCGGTGATGGCTCAGCAGTTCCTGACGGGGAAGCACAAAAGCCCATTAGGAAGGATCCTGCTGTGCCAAGGAGCCCGGGCTGGTCGGGAGGGCAGCGCTCGGCTGGGACCCCGCAGGGCACAGGGAAGGATGCGAGTGACAGTTCGAGTGACAGAGCACCGAGCGGGGTTGGACCTCTTTGGGCACTTCCTGGGAACCTGCAGGGTCCTCGATGTGGCACCTCTGTGTGACAGGGGGCACCGGGACACGTCCTGGGAGTGACCGTGGGCACCGTCAGCGACTCGGGTTCTCCCTTGGTACCACGGGCAGCGCTGCCACCCTGCTCTCCATCACTGCCACCCTGCCCTCCAGCACTGCCACCCTGCCCTCCAGCACTGCCACCCTGCTCTCCAGCACTGCCACCCTGCCCTCTAGTGCTGCCACTCTGCTCTCCATCACTGCCACCCTGCCCTCCAGCACTGCCACCCTGCTCTCCAGCACTGCCACCCTGCTCTCCAGCACTGCCACTCTGCTCTCCAGCACTGCCACCCTGCCCTCCAGCACTGCCACCCTGCCCTCTAGTGCTGCCACTCTGCTCTCCATCACTGCCACCCTGCTCTCCGGCACTGCCACCCTGCTCTCCAGCACTGCCACTCTGCTCTCCAGCACTGCCACCCTGCCCTCCAGCACTGCCACTCTGCTCTCCAGCACTGCCACCCTGCTCTCCATCACTGCCACCCTGCTCTCCAGCACTGCCACCCTGCTCTCCATCACTGCCACTCTGCTCTCCGGCACTGCCACCCTGCCCTCTAGTGCTGCCACTCTGGTCTCCATCGCTGCCACCCTGCTCTCCAGCCTGCCCTGGGATGTGCTCGGTGGGAAGGGTCAGTCCCCAGGGCAGCCCTTCCCTCATCCACCCTCTGGGATTTGCTGATTTAAATCCTCTCCCAGGGTTTTTGCTCTGCTGTGTCATTGCTGTTGGGGACCTGCTGCCAGGCCCAGGTGGGGATGCACCACCCCACAAAAACTTCCCAAACGTCTTCCCAGGGCCGTGCATCCCATGAAATGGGAGAGGAACTGGGCACAAGTCTCGGAGCAGCCCCGAGTGAGGTCCTCCCGGGCTCTGTGTCACCTTGGCACACACGGAGTGGTGGCCCCAGGGCTGGTGCTGGGACGGGCATCGCTCCACAGCATCCCAGGGGAGCAGAGACCTCCTTGGAAAAGCTCTGGGGTTTTCCCTTTGTTTGCCCCTTCTATTTTTGCCTTGTGCCATCCTGTGTGGAGCCACCAGACCGTGGCATTCGGGGGGTCACTTGCCCTAATTAATCAGTCAGCCCTCCAAGCATGGCCCCAGTGCTGCTGGCACCAGCCACGCTCCTAATTAACTTCCCTAATTAAGAGGTCCCTTTCCATGGCCAGAAGGGCTGTGTCCCCATGATGGAGAAGCCCTCAACTTCTCCTCACCCTGAGCACCCAGGGGTGGCATCACAGAGCTGGAGGTGACCTGAGGCAGGAGGGGGAAGCTCAGAGCCCAAGGAGAGGCCGGAGGAAGGTGGGTGGAGAGGAGAACTGAGCTCCCCATGCCCTGACTTGTCTCCCTGCAACAGCGTTTCTTGGTTGCTGCTGAGCCCTGAGGGTTCAGTCAGGGTTTGGTCTCGCCAGGGCGGGCTCAGCCGGCCCTGACACGCCAAATCCTGCGGATCATCCGCTGGCACCGGGCTGGGCACACACCGGCCCCTCCTGCCATGGCCACGGGCTGTGAGTTGGCCTGTGCCTGTGCCTGTGCCTGTGCCCATCTCACGGGAGCCAGTGCAGGAAGCCACACTGTGTCCCCTCTTCATCCTCCTTGTGCTCCCTCTTTGTCCTCCTTCATCCCACCTCTCCCGCTGTGCCAGGAATGGCAGCGGGTACTTGTGGCCATCCAACACTTCTTTGGGATCACCACGTCCCACTGCAGCCCCCAGGCCTGTTTCCTCCTTCCAAGAACCTGAAAGATCTTCTCAGTGCTTGGTGTTCACCAGGAAAACCTCTTTCCATGGGTTTTTAAGGAACTCCCGACATTCCCTGGACACATCCCTGGTGTCCCAGAGGATGTGTGGATAATGCCATGGCCACCAGGAGCAGGCTCTGCTCAACCACCTGCAACATTTGGTCACTCTCAACCTTTACAGGCTTTTCCCAAGCCCCGGGACACTTTGCTCGGGATGATGGGAGAGCCGGGATCCCCCTCTGCCCGGCTCCCACCCGGCAGCTCATTTTTGGCACGACCTGGGGGTTTTTTTTAGGGACGCTGCTGGAATTAAGAGCACGGGGGCACGAGTCCAGTGGGGGAGAACAAACTGCAAATCCACAAAGGAAAAGGAGTGGTTTTAATCTCTGTTTAGGAGATTTGCATACAATTAGGCCGAGCCCTGCCCGCCTTCGCTTCCGCGTTGCACTCCCGTGAGGAACGCGCCGCTTTTCCTGCTCCGCTCCCAGCCAGGCGCTGATTGCGAGGACACTCCCCCTGGGAAGCCGGGGGGTGAGGGGTCTCGGGGCTCCCTTTCCACCCTCAGTACCCCGTTCTGAGCACACCCCCCCCCGCCCCTCGCCTCTGGATTTGGGGGCTCAGCCGAAGGGGGAGCATCGTTCCCTCCCCGCGGCGCGGGAGGTGTGAGGAGATGCTGCGGGATGCAAACGCTCCCATAAATAGCTCGGTGTTTACAGGAGCCCGCGTGCCTGGGTTTATTTTTCTCTCTGCAGAGCAAACAGATCGTTCAGAGCCAGCCAAGCTCCCCTCACCCTGTCCCTGGCACAGCCCAGTGCCCGGAGGTGGCACAAAGCCACCGTCTCCAGACGGCCCCGGGATGCTCGGACCTCCCAGCCCCGGGCTGGGCACTCGCCCAAGGACGCAAGGGGAAAGCCCACGGGCCACCAGCCGATGGAGAAGTCAGCCCTGATTTGTGGCAGTTCCACACTGATCCCACCCCTGCGGTGGGGTGAGGAGGAGCTGGCGGAGGAGGGGACGGGGGTCAACCCCAAGGAGCAGACCCAGGTGTTGGGACATCTGTCACCAAGGCGGGAGGGGACAACTCCAGCCCGGAGTCTCACCAGAGGGGGCAGAAAGGATGGGGAGAGGTGAAGATGGGAGTTGGGAGAGTCCTTCTGCCCCACACCTGAGGTCGTAGCTGGTCCTGGTCCCTGCAGCACTCGGATAAACCAGCCCCGTTCCTGGGGGGAGAATTGTGCAGGATGAGCCTCGCAGGTGCCCGGGCCACCTCTGGGGGTGCCTGGAGGGCTTGGCTGGTTCAGCTCCATCAGTCAGGTCGAACCCCCGCACCCACCGTCTCTGCCCTGCCCCGCCCGGGGGGGCGGAGGGGATGGGATTTGAGGGGTGACCGTTTCCCCCAAAACTTCTCTGAGGAACTCAAACAGCGTCTGGTGCAGCCTCAGCACCAGTTTGGGGTCACCGTCTCTCCACACACCCTGTCTGGACAGACCCTCCCCCCAGACACGGCCCCTGCACGGGGGGTGCTGCCTCCCCCTCCCAGCACGGGGTGCAGCCCCTCAGCACCCGGGGGTGCCCCAGGAGGGCGAAGGGGGCTTTAGGGCTCACCCCCCGCCCACCCCAGCAGTGACTGGGGGTGAGACGTTGCCAGCCCGAGCCCCGGTGAGCAGTTGGGGTCTGAGCTGGGGTCCCGAGCCCCGAGCGGCGCTGCCCCAGCCGGGGGGATGGGCCGGGTCCTCGCCGCCCCCACCCCGAGCTCAGGCTCTGCCCCCGCCCTCCCCTCCCCGCCCCGATCCTCCGCTCACACCCGGCCTCAAAAGCCGGGTTTAGTGCTAAAGCCGGGCCCGAGCCGTACCGGGAGCCTCGGGGCTGGGCCGGACTCCGCCGCTCCCCCCGGTCCCGCCGCCGCCTCTGCCCGCCCACCCCCGTCCCCCCTCCCCCGGTTCCTGCCGGTCCCGGCAAGCCCCGAATCGGGTCAGTCGCTCTTTAAACGCTGGCAGGCGGCACCATGTGATGCTCGGGCTCCGGCGGGGAGCGGGCAGCGCCTGCGGGAGCCGAGCGGTGCCGGGCACCGGGCACCGAGCGCAGCCCCGGCCCGGTCCCCGCAGCATCGCCCCGGCCGCCCCCCGGCATGAGCCGCGCCCCAGCCCGCGGGGGGACAGCGCTGCCTATTTTGGGGTGAGGACACCCCGAAACAAGCCCCGGGCTTGCAGGACAAGGTAAGAGGGGTCGGGGCGAGCGCGGGCGGGCCGGGGCTCGGGGCTCGGGCGACTGCAGGAGGCGGGAGGGGAACCAGCCGGGAGGGGCAGCGGAGGTTCCGCTGCGGATCCATCGGCTCTGGAGGGGTCCGGCAGACGGGCCCGGGGCGGCCCGAGGGGCGGGGCGGGGGGGCTCGGCTGCTCTCTCTGGGCTGGTCGGGAGGTCCCGCTCCTCCCGCAGCGCCGGGAGCGGTCGCGCTGCTGGACGGAGGTGGGTGCGGGACGGAGGTGGGTGCTGGACGGAGGTGGGTGCGGGACGGAGGTGGGTGCGGGACGGAGGTGGGTGCGGGACGGAGGTGGGTGCGGGATAGAGGTGGCTGCGGGATAGAGGTGACTGCGGGATGAGTCCCGGGGGGGTGTGGGAGCCCCAGGGGATGGCACAGACGGGAGAGGGTTTTTTCCCACCCCCCCGCCCAGGCTCCATCCCGCTCGCAGCGCTCTCGGCGATGCCAGTCCCTCACAGCCTCCCCGTGCGTCTGCAGGTGACCGAGAGACCCCGGAGGGAGCGGGGGGGCACCGGAGCATCATGGCACACCCCATCTCAGCCTTCCAGGCTGCCTACATCTCCATCGAAGTGCTCATCGCCCTGGTGTCCGTGCCGGGCAATATCCTGGTCATCTGGGCTGTGAAGATGAACCAGGCGCTGCGAGACGCCACTTTCTGCTTCATCGTGTCGCTGGCGGTGGCCGACGTGGCCGTGGGGGCTCTGGTCATCCCTCTGGCCATCATCATCAACATCGGCCCCCAGACGGAGTTTTACAGCTGCCTCATGGTGGCGTGTCCCGTCCTCATCCTCACCGAGAGCTCCATCCTGGCGCTCCTGGCCATCGCCGTGGATCGGTACCTGCGGGTGAAGATCCCTGTCAGGTAGGGAGACGCGCCGGGACCGGCCCCGCGGGGGTTAACAGGGAGCGGGAGTGCCTCAAACTCTTGGAGAAGCACTGGGAGAAAGGTCTTCCTCCCCTCCGCCGTCTCAGACGCGTCTGGCTGCGGCAGCGACCGGGGCAGGCTGGGCTGGGGGGGTCCTGCAGCCTCCAGCAGCTTCTCTTGGGGCTTCAGGGGGTGCTGGATGTGCAGGCAGAATCACAGTCCCTCCCAGGATCCCCGTGGCCAGGACAAAGTGTGTCCTCACGCTCGGGACAGCCCCAGCGTGGTGCTTGGGGAGTGGGAAGGGGACACGGATTTGGCTTCCAGCCCGGGTCCTCCCTTGCCACGGGAACCCCAGGAGCCCAGGGGGGACAACCTGCTGGCCCATGGACATGTGGGACACAGCTCTGGGGGTCTGAGGGACCAGGGGTGCCAGCCTGGCACGTTTCCTGGGGCAGCCTCACCCAGGAGAGACCCCACAAATGACTCCTTTCCGTTTTCCCCCTCTCATCACCTGCCTGTGCTGCCGTTCCCAGCCCAGAGCGAGGACCTTGGGGTGGGAACGAGGGGGACGCTCCGTGTCTGAGCTCTGCTGCTCCAGGAGGAGACATTGAAGCCTCTGTGCCCTGTCGGGGCTGTGCTGCAGCCCCTGGGGATGGGGGAGGCAGCCGGGGGCTGTCTCAGTGGGGCGGGGGGGTGTCCTAGTGGGGTTGGAAGGGGAGGTCACCCCCGGCCTGGGCGTTGCTCCAGCACAGCCCAGCTTAGCCCCTCCCGGAGCAGCTGCTCTCCCTGGTCCCCCTCGCTCTGCTCAAGGACATTCCTGGGCTGCAGGGACACCTCAGCACTGCTGGAAAACAGCCCAGCCCGGCCGAGCACATCCCTACTGCTGCCACCCCCCTCATCACAACAAACACCCCCAAAAGGCACCCAAACCCCTTGTGTGGGTGCTGCCCAGGGCCCAGGGGCTGTAGGATCCTTCCTGGGGCAGGAATGGCTTCTCCATCCGGGGAGACAGGGACACCTGCGTGGGGATCAAACGGCAGCTCCGGAGCGCTCGGTGTTCCCAGATCCATGGGATCAGGCCAGGGATGTGCTGCTTTGGGGTTTTCCTGCCCCCACAGCCAGTGGAGCTGCTTGGGGAAGGAGCGTAAGACGAGGGGGTGGAGATGGGGGGGCACAGGATAAATCCAAAATTCCTGCCCACCCCCTCCCTGCCACACAGGATCTCACAGACTGTTCCCAACTTCCTCCCTGGCTGTGATTTTCCCAACCTGACAAATCCCTGTCTCCCAGCCCATCAGTGTCACCAAAGTGATTCCCACCCTGTCACTGCTCCTGGGGCTTTTCTGGGGTTCTCTCATTCCCCGTGTGGGGTGTGGGAGTTCTGCAGACTTCCAGCAGCACTGCCTGGCATTTTCCTCCCAGTCCCAGCCCATTTTCTTCCTTTGCTGCTTCCTGGGCCTTTTCTGGGGAGATTCCTGTCCTGATCCCAGGAGCAATATTAACTCAGAGCCTCCCATGCTGGGTGCAGTTTAAGTGGGTTTTTCTCCCGCAATATCCCCCTGGAATTTTATCATCCCATTACGTGCCTGAGCACTTGGCAGCAGGAGATTTTCCTCTGTCTTTTCATAGCCTACTTTAATATTGAAAAAGCTTTGGAGTCTCATCAACTTAATGGTTGCACTCGAGTATCTTGGAGGTCTTTCCCAACTTCAGTGATTCTGTGACTGGATGAATTCCCAGAGGTCGGAAATGCAGGGATTTTAGGGGATGTTGTTCCCTGTACACAGCAAATAAGAGAGGAAACACCATAAAGAACATTCCCTGAGTCTGAAATGTCCCAAGTTCCTCCTGCCCTGTTGCAGGGTGCTACAAGATGAGACTGGATGAGGGGGGATTCTTGGCCTCAGGCTCATCCCTGGGGCAGCCTGGATGTGGAGCAGGGACAGTGAACACTCTGTGGTGACAGTTTGCACTCTGCAGTGACAGGGTACACTCTGGGGCCTGTTCCCATGCCAGGGAAATTCCTCAGATAAGCCTGGCACGAGGTGGATGTTTGCCAGCATGATCATGGCTGAGGGGTCCTGTGGGATGTGATTCCGGGGGATCCCTCAGGTTTCCAGACCCATTCTCTGCTCACAGAGAGAGGGAAATGAGTCTCACAGAATCCCGGGATGGTTTGGGTGGGAAGGGATCTTAAAGCTCATCCAGTTCCATGGGCAGGGACTCCTTCTCCTATCCCAGGTTTCTCCAAGTTTATCCAACCCGGCCTTGGGCAGTTGGGATGGGGCAGCCACAGCTTCTCTGGGAATTCCATCCCAGGCCCTCCCCACCCTCCCAGGGAATAATTCCTTCCCAATATCCCATCCATCCCTGCCTTCTGGCAGCAGGAAGCCATTTCCAACAGGGAATTTCACAGAGGCAGCTGACAGGGCCTGGGAGCAGCAGGAGAGAGGCTCCAGGAATCCCTGCTCCATCCCTGCTCTGTCCTCGAGCTGAGCACCTCCCAAATGCCATCCCCACTCCAGGGTCCCCCATGAGTCCCCACGGGCATTTTGGGTGTCCTGAGGGGCTGTGTGAGGGTCTCCACATCCCCATCCCATACCCAGCTGGGAGAGAAGCCAACAGGCCCCTTGGCTGGGGAGGAGAAGCAAAGTCACCCCAGGGCTTTTCCAGGCTCTCCGTTCGATCAGACTGGAAGCGTGGCTCAGCAGGGATGGGGGAATGTGGGGCATCCAAGCCTGGCTCCAGCTCCAGGCTCCCCAGGGACATCCCAGCCCTTGGGGGACAACCTGCGGGTCTGATCCTGCTTGCAGCAACCCCCCGGACACCCCCAGTGCCGGAGCTGAGCCCTGGGGGGACACCGGGAGCTCTGTGGCCCCAGGGTGGGGGTGCCCTGGCAGCAAACGGTGCCCTGAGCCCTCGGGGTGTCCCGGGATGGCAGTGGGAGATGCTGAGCCCTGGTTGTGTCCCGGGATGGCAGTGGGAGATGCCAAAGCAGCATCCTGTGCTCTGCCTTGGGATCCTCCGTGGGCACAGAAGCCCAGAGGAGCATTGGTCGCTTGTGCAAGGTGGAGGCAGATTTGCTCAGATGTAGACAAAAATCCCGTTTGGGTTTTTTTTTTTTCCTTTTTTGCTCGGCTCCAAGGTGGCACCTCCTTCCTCCTGCTCCTCCTGCCCCAGCCAGCACACCCCCGGCAAGGTCGGGGGACCAGGATATCCCGACAGACCCAAATCCCTCTGCCCCAGCCTCTGGATATCGCCCCTCCCGGGTTCTGGATAACGCTGCCTCCCCCCAGGGGGGCTTTCCTTGGCTATGGGGGGATGCAGGAGCCCTGTTTGGGCTGAGCAGGCTGAGCAGAGGGGACCCCGCTCCCCACCCCGCAGGAACTGCCCTGAACAGCTGGAAACCACCCAAAATAACTCTGCTGCCTCCGCGCCGGTGGAAGAGCTCCCACCTCCCCTCTCACATCCTTCCTCCGCGCCGGCGACAGGGCAGGACCCCCGTCCTGTCCCCCCCGGCCCAGCCGGGCCCAGCGGGGTCCCCGCAGCCCAAACTTCCCTCTCGCTGTCGCGTCTGGGGGAGATGAAATGAGTTCAAAGGGAGGGGAAGGAGCCGGCGGGGGGCGGGGGTCCGGCAGGAACCGGCCTCTCGGCAGCCCCTGCAGGCAGGAACTGCCCCCTGAGCATCCCCTGCGGGCAGGAACGGTCAGGATGCTGGAGGAGACGGTGCCGGGGGGATGTCGGGGGGGGATGTTGAGCTCCTTTGTCCCCACCCTGTGCTGCCCTGGGGGGTCCATCTGTGCTCCGAGGTGTGTTTTGGGCCAGGGCAGAGGGAGTTGGTGTCCTTGGGATGCCCCAAAGAGCCCCTTGGTGGGGGTGCTGGATGTGGGGGATGCTGGATGTGGAGGTGCACCCCCCAGGCCTGTCTCGGGGTGTCCTTTGGGTTCCTCGCCTCAAACCCTTTGAAACGTGTGCCAGGAGGAGAAAACCTGCAGGAATTTGCTGTTTTGCCTCGTTTATGGGGTCTCTTACCCTGTAGCACCCCCCACCCTCTGTGCCCAAGCCCCAACATTGGGGTGCCCCCCCAGCCCTTCCCTTCCCTCCCTGTGACATCCCAGGGATCTTCCCACCAGGCTGAGCTGCGTTTCCTGTTGCTGAGGGGTTGGAATCCTCGCCTGAGGCTGCAGAGCCACGGAAATCAGACCAGAACGGGTTGGGAATCCCTGGGAAACAGGGGGGCAGGAGACTGGGAGCAGCAGAGGGGGGGCCCAGGGCAAGGCAGGCTGGCATTCCCAGCACTGGCATTCCCAGGGAGTGCCCTGTCCCGAGTGCTGGGAGGTGACAGAGCTCAGGGCAGGCAGGAGCCCCCCTGGCCCTGGATGTGGCAGTGGAAGGGGGAAGCTCTTCCCCACTGGACTCCTTGTTTCCAGGCTCCTGCCGGGTTTGCAGATGCTCTTTCCCCTTCTCCCCAGCCCTGCCAAGGGCCTCGGGCATGGGGCCAGCTGGGGCTGGGTCACAGCAGGCCTGGGAAGGCTCTTCCCCCTCAGCCTGGGGCTGTGGAGCAGGACACTGAGCTATGGCTGCCCCATCCCTGAGTGTCCCAAGCCAGGCTGGACGGGGCTTGGAGCAACCTGGGATAGTGGGAGGTGTCCCTGCCCATGGCAGGGGGTGGGATGAGATGAGTTTGAAGGTCCCTTCCCACCCAAACCATCCTGGAATTCCATGATTCCTCCAGCAGGGATTCCTCCAGCAGAGTCCATGGAGGGTCTCGGCAGGCACCCCCCAGCCACAGGAGGGGATGAGGAGGACATTGGGGTGAGACCCTGTTTTGGCCCAATTCCCAGGCACTGGGAAGATCCTTTAGGATCTTCCCATCTTCCCACTTACCCATTAAAGCACCAGGAAACCTCCCTGGGCACTTGGGCTCTGAAGGACATTTTCATTGGGGTTTTTTCCCCCTGGTTTTCAGGATGAAGCACTGACCCTTGGTGATGAAT